TCCCTGTTCAAATCTCAACCATAGGATGAATCCATGGCATGATAACAGTAGGACTTGATAGTCTCCCTCCTAGTTGGGCCTGTCCTCTTCTCATCTCAAAACAGTTTAAGATACAGTAATCATGAATGATTTCTTTCGTACGTTACGAGCCTTAAGCTATCTGAGAAAAGATTGTGGGAGAGTTTCTTTTCCATAGTCTGGATGTTTAGTATGGTACCCTTTGGGTGACATGCGACGCATTCACTCTCAGGTCATAGTCTCTAGTGCGGTTGAAATCGCAAACACAATAAAAAACACTTCTTTCGTAAAAACAGGAAATAAACCGTAGTTTCCCGAACTACGTTTGCTCTGATCTTCCATACTGTGTGGAAGTACGTAGGCATAGGATGCGATATCCTAGCGAGCAACCTTTCCCCCGTAACCCTTCGTAGGCCGAACTACGTTGACTCTGATTTCTCATTCTCTGATGAGAATACGTAGGCATAAAGCGCGACGCTTTTCCGAGTCATTTTTCTTTTCTCTTTCAGCCAGCCTTGATAGGTAGATAGATTATAACCAACCCACCCAAGTAAACTAACAAGCGTGGATCCCGTCGAGTACGACGGACGTGAGGGGTGCTAATACCTTCCCCTTGTGTAACCGACTCCCGAACCCAGACAATGGTTGCGATGACCTTGTCTTACCCTTATTCGTCAGGTTTTTTCCGATCGTTTCCTTTCCCGCTCTGAGGGATAAATAACGAAAGGTGGCGACTCTTATGTCATGTCGGCACCTTATTTTCGCGCAAGCGACAACATCTAAGTGAAAAATGTCATCATCTCAAATACTATTGGGAATAGGAGAATTACATCTCAACTATGAAAATGAATCATGTCTAAACTTTTTGAAAAGTTTTAAAATGAAAAAATGCGCAAAGACACAAAAAGTTTGGATGAACTTTTTTTGTATTTTTTATGTCTTTTGAAATTAGTCAAAGTATGATTCACATTGCTTGATATTTATTAAAGAAAACAAAGTTTGAAAAAATCACTTGACAAAAGTCAAGGTTTTTTATGAAAGAGGTTTAACTTTGAAAATAAGAAGGTTTTAAAAAAGGGAGAAGATTTTGAAAATTGAAGAAGGGGTGGAGAAGAAGTGACTATGCTAGAAAGAAAAGTAAGATGTAGATAAGGGAACATCTAACCACACAAGGAGCAAACATTTGACAAGAAGTCAACATGGACATTCTTCTTTCTTTTAGATTTAAACCACAAGCGTAATAACCAGATGAAGTAAAGCATCTGAGGAAATCCCAAATTAAGCCATATCAAAGTCAAAGAGAGGTCCTTCCAAGTTTTAAAAACCAATTAGGAGAGTCATGTATCAGATGATTTTCATAATGTCAAAATATCAACACCTGTACACAGAAAATTTCCCAAAATAGATAGACAAAAAACAACACCAAAGTCCAAGGCCTCAAATCTCCAAAAGAAAAGGGGAAGGATCTTAGAACTAAGTCCAAAGTCCGAGCCACAAATTCCAAGCATAAGGTCATAACAATTCGGATTTAGGAGAACCAAGTCTTTTAGTGTTTAAGTACTTATTAATGTCTTAAGAGGAGTATGGTCCAAGTGAACAAAAGAAAAATAGCATAAGCATAAACAAAGGGTCCAAATGAACAAAGAGAAAATAAGATGATAATAATATGATATGAAATGATAAAAATAAAAGCGTAAAAGTAAATTACAATAAGTAAAGAGCATAAAGGTAAATGACAATTAAAGGTAAAGTTAGTGTTAGTATGTTAATGTTAATGATGGAGAACGATTTGTCATTTTTTGGAGAATACATGACCAATCCACCATAAGAATGAGAACATGAGCCCATAAACCATTAAGGGAAGGGTTTCAACTCTGATTAAATCAACGCGTATGCCAACTAACTCCCTCAAAGACAAGGAAACGATATATCTCAAACTACGCTACAACGATTAAGAGATTGATAACTCACTTACATAAACAACTCAATTCCGATTTAGGGATAATTTAGTGCTATGTTAAGCAATTGTAATCGGATTTATGTAGAAGCCACGACAATCTGAGGTCGGTTAATAATAATATGTGTGCTAATGTATGCTAGAGAGATGATATGTAGATCATCCTCCAAAATCAATACTGCACGAAACAAAAATAGGTAACGATCTCATCTTCATCAAGAACTTAAAACAAGTTCCAATGATATTGAAGATTTTCATTGATCAAAAGAAAAAAAAATAGAAGAGGGGAGAAGGAAAGCCAAATTGAATCACAACATTTGAATCATTTCATCTTCAAGTTCCATCACCCTTCTTGGTGGATTAAATCACTAAACATATCACTAATTCAAAGCACCTAAAATAAATCCAATGATCCACTTAAAGATAGATTTGAATCAACGAAGATTTATCCAACTTCATCAAACACCCAAATTCCATGAAATTTGAAGAGAAATTTGATCAACAAACATCACAATTCAAGGCAAAACAAAAGAAAATGGAAGTAGGAAGAAAAGGAACCAAAATAGTCCCAAAATAAGCCAAAAAACACATTCTGACTTGTGTTAATCGATTAACCATTTCATGTACAAATTGGTTAATTGATTAACACTGGCAGGACAACAAACAAATTTGAAAAAAAATCAGCATTCATGATTCAATCATTTCTTCAAACACTTCATGATCATGAATGCAATTGAGCACGGAAATTTAAGTAAAACAACAGCAAATAACACCAATAAAACACAATTTCAAAGATCAAGCAACAAGAATCAATAAGAGATCACATTGTGAAAGATGAATCAAGCACAACAATGGTGGAACAAGAGTTTACCACTTCAAAATCTGAAAATGCTTCAAATCAACTTCAAAAATCACACTCCAAAGCCTTGATCTGCATAATTTGATATTGAAGAAGTGTTTTGATGGAGGTTTTCGCTAAAAAATTAGTAAACCTCAATGAAAAACTTACTATCTTTTAATGGAAGAAAGAGCTTTGGTGAATTTGGTGGTTGAAGGGAATTGCGAGAAATTTTAGCAAGATGAATTTGACTATCAAAAGCTTGAAAAATGAATGAAATGAGGCTTCTATTTATAGAATTTAGACTTGGAAATTTTGGTGGTTTGGAATTTGATCTAGGCTTGAAAATTGAATTTGGAGGCAAAATCAAGATCAAATGGTGATTAATGAAGGTGTATGATGAGAATTAATTATGATGAGGTAGGGGAATTAAAATGAGGTGATCTAGAATATTCTCATGATGAAACAAATGAATTTTGGTGCAAAAATGCTGTAGAATTTAAATTTGACTCATTTTGCACGTGGTTAATCGATTAACCAATTTTAGGCATATTTTGGTTAATCGATTAACACAGTGAAAAAAATGAGAAAAATGGTTTTTTGATGGCTTGTCTTGCTTCCGACTCGATTATTTTGACTTGTCAAAGAAGACATAGAAATAAACACATGAACCTTAGAGTCTCTTGAGCAATAAACAATCAAATCTTGGGAAACTCTTGATCAAATAATTTTGAATTGTTTGCAGATCAACTTTAATTTTTTCAGATGAAATTTATTCGAGCTGAGGGACTGTTGATTGGTGTTCTTGATCCAAACCTCCTCCTGAAAGAAAGAGTTAGTAAATAAATAAAAACAAACATATTTTTGATATTTTGGTTAGGGTTAGTAAACATGAACAATCAAATAAAAGCAAACAAAGAAAATACACAGGTGTCTGGTGATCTCCCTTAAAAACAATTCCACAAAGAAAGACAAGAGAACCAAATCTTGTAATCTTGTTTGTAGTACGAGATGCAAATGATATGTGAGATCTTAGGAATAAAAATTAGGGTATTACAACTAAGTACTCAACAAAGTCATGTAAAAGGAGATAAGTGACCTTGATGAGATTTGATTTGCCCATACTACACGTGGAAGAGTAATGTCTACGAAACACTTACCAACTATAACAGTAAATTGCATGGTCATACTAAAATAAATTAATATATAAGAGTGGGGATCAACTTACTCTAAGAGTAAGTTTTTTTAACTTACTCCACATAATAGCCTTTAAATTGAATATAATATAGTAATTAAATTAGCATTTTTATTTATAATTATTCGATTAAATTTAATTTAAAGGTTATGATTGTGGAATAAATTATAAAAACTTATTCTTGGAGTAAGTGGATCCTCACTCTATATTATAATGTTGAACTTATTTATAATTATTAACTATACATGGTATTAAAAATAACTATAACACAAACTAATATAAAAAAATGTGTTAATACCATTTTATCCCGACCATATAGGTAGATTTTGATTTATTTTCTATAAAAATAAATTTTGTAAAACGAACTTTATTATTCGAAGATTTTGTTGTTTTAAATTTTGTGAAATTGCTTTTTTGTAAAATTAATATTGTCATACCTAAATATAAAAAAGAAAAGTAGTTATATATGACATCATCACTTGATTACTGGATGTGTTTCTAAAGACGATTATATGTTTAAAATATTAAATAAAAAATACATTTGGGACTATAATAATGATCAAACAAGCATATAGGAAAAGATCAAGCCATATTGACAGTGCTCCCTGATGAAAAGAAATTTAATAATTTATTCCATACTATATACTATGATCCATCCTCAGTCATTATATTCTCTTCTACACATATTTAGGAAGAATCAAAATACAAAGTAAAGAACATATTCTCAACCACAGTCTTTCCTATCTACTCATATGATACAATCTTACATCCAAAACAATTCCCTAAATATTATTCCACTGAATCTAAAGCAACCAAGTAGAACTTAGCAACTTAGGAATTTTCCTTATTCTTCTTATCAACCATCTTTTCTTTATTTCTTTATTATGCTTTCATTGGCAGAAACCACTATCAAAGCAAAACTATTACTAACATGAAAATTTTTATAAAACTAATAGCTACAAATATAGCACTAGTACAGTCCCACTTGTGCTTCAGTAAGTCCACTCCCGTGGCAGAATCATCTCATTCTGAACTTGTGTTTGTTTCTTCCGTGATTGGCGTTTCTGTAGTGAATACATCCCATCCCTATTTGTACTCACTAAAACATCTGCAAGTTGCAATTTTCTAGTCAGTAAGTAATATGTGACATCAGACTCCAGAGGCGTGAGTTCGAATCTGCGACATTTCTATTATTCACTATGTGGAACTCTAGCCAATAGATTACGTGACAAAAAAAATCTATAAAAAGTTAATACCATGTAGGGGAGGGAAGGCAGGAGATTTAGGTCCAGACGTGGCAGCAATTTGTTCAAAGTGGAGTTGCAAAGCTTGTACTACTCTCTCTGGTATAAGAACAGTTGAACAACCTTTACCTGATCAAATCACATGTAAATGTTTAGGAGAATCCGAAAAATTGGTCACATCTGTTACATTTACATAAAGTATCTTTATAATTGATGTCCTACTTTAATAAAAAGAAACAATAGAAGGTATCAAACATGTGTGCACATGGATAAGATTAGAGAAGACTCTATGGTTCAAACTAGGAAGAATATTTCATGAAAATAAATATCTAGAATAATATAGCCACATGCAGCGTCGGTCACAATTAATCACTATAGAGTTGAAAATTTATATTCCTTATCAGTAACCAACTACCTCAACTACAACCTAACAAACAACTATAGTAAATAGTTCAAACCAACACCAAAATCTTAAAATTTAAGTATGAGTCTGGTTGAGGTAACAAAATTTAATTTAATTTAATAAATTTTATAATACCGATCTTAATAAACAAACAAATTACAAGGATATAAAGTTTTAAAAAACAATCTAGGACCACAGAGACGCAACTAAACGGAATTGACAAGTGTTGATATAGATCATGTTATTATATTAAAGAATAAATTATGATTAATTCAATGACAAAAACTGTAACTAATTTACACTCTAACAACTGAGATTAGTTCACATAGCAATGCCCACATTTAATATTGTGAAATTGTATTTAATTTACACTGTGACTATGTGAATAATAACCTTTTAAAGGAAAATACAAAGTTGGTTCGTGACAATTACCTGGTCTTTTACTCTGTGACTCAAACGTAGTACTGACACCACCACGTGGCAAGAAAACACCTGTCCCACATGATGGGCCTTTTGAACCGGTAGCTTCCTGAAAACGCGGCAACTTCTCAGAACCGGTGCCCCGGTTCAGAGAACCGGACCGCTGCGAATGAACCATCCCATATCCAACATCAACTCCTTTACCATTCTTTTGAAATTGCGGCGATGATACATAACCATGATTTTCTCTATACGCAATGAGTTTTAGCTTTAAAGACAGAATCTGCTCTTGCCTGAGACGAGACAACTATACGTAACACAAGAAAATTCATTAAACATAACATAAAAGTCATAGAAAATAGTATCATTGTTTAAAATATCAGTCCGCAATTGCAACCAGTGTCACAACACAGAGACCGTATTTTAAAACCTTGATAGTATCAATGAAACAAACATTGATGGGTGTGATGTAATTTTATATACTTGATTAGCTCGTATTTGTTGGTTAAGCAGATATTCATGTGATGAACCAACTCCAACGTGGGTTTGTAAATCAGTTTGGAAATCCGAACTTCCGTTATCTTCGAATCTCATCTTCTCAAGCATGTTAACCATGTGGTTGCAATCAGAGTCATGGCTGTTTGCAGGTTCCGTAGGAGACAAAGAACCTTCAGGACTACCTTGGTTTGAATACAACGGTGACCAGAGAGATGATTGTTGAGACCAACATGTTTCCAATGGCTTTAACTAAAGAACAAACAAGTACAATATCAAACAAATATTAGATCATGAAAAAAGAGAGAGAAAAATTAACTAGTACCGATTCCAAATCCTCGGAAGCAATGCATGAGGAAGCGAAACTGTGGTCTTGTTGAAGAGACATCTCCATGTGTTGTTGGGTTAGTTCATGAGAGAGTGGAGTTGTAGATGTATGCGATCTAATTTGACGAGAAATAAGGAAGTGTGGATTTGAATCTGAACCGTTAAAGTTGAGGTAGTTGGAGTGATTAATGACCGTTGATGGGGGGAGTAACGAATCATAAGGAAACGATGAGTCATGAGTGCCACTAGTGTGTTGTAGGTCAACAGCCATGATAAAGAATGAATGGTAATGATCAAATAGGGTAAGGTAGAGAGAAGGTTTAATGAGTGTTACTTAGATAAGGGAAACATGTGTGTCCCTTCAAGTAGCGCTTTATTTTTGGTTGATATAAGTCCCTTGAGGAAGTAATTGCGAGAGACTACTTTTAATTATAGGTGAGAGTTGTTAGAAGTTCAAGAAATTAGTTTATGCAACAAATTAAGGCCTAAAGTTGAAGCCCAATACTTTTTCTTGCAGGATTCAGGGATATATAAGGCAAGATTTGCGCTATTATGCAACAAAAGAATAAAATAGGATACGATTGTTAAAGGGTGGGCCAGCTAGATTTAGTTAATGAGTTATAAGTCATCAATGGTTGTTGAGTCTAATAGATTATATTTTTTTGTTTTGGAAATATCCTACCGATTTATTGGATATATATTTATTTTTATTTTATTTTATTATTGAAATTAAAAATATATGAAAAATTGAAGATGATCACAGGTAAAAATATTGCGTATAGTAGTTCAAGTCAGTATCTCAAAGAGGAATAACTATTGCAAATAAGAGTGACATAATATCTAGATGTTGAAGCTAGCAGGATTATACCTGAGTGAATTGCACAGTCAAAGATACAACAGAGTCGCCACCAAACTTTATTTAGTCCCAAAGGATATGGAAGATATCGATAAAACTCAAAGGGAAGAGAAATGGGTAAGGGAGTCGGTTATGCACAAGGAATGTACTAGCACCTTACGCACCTGTCGTACTCGACGGGAACCGTTTTGCTTGCTTCTATGCTTGGATGGATTATATATCTATAGGCCTCTAGCTAAAAGGAAAAGAGGAAAGAAAAGAGCGAGAAAGAAAGAAAGTGATCGCGAAGGATTAGGGCCCTCGTGCCTACGTATCCTCATAGTGCAATGAGAAATTAAGAGCTCTATAGTTCATGAAACCAGGAAAGAGAGAGAAGGTGGAAAAAGGTGGAAGGTAGCTCGCCAAGATTTTGCGATCTCGTGCCTACGTATCCTCACAGTGCAATGAAGAAATCAGAGCCTATATAGTTTGGGGAACCAAGACAGAGAAAGAAAAGGAAGAGGAAGTGGTGTCAAAACCAAGAGCAAAAGGGTGACAGTAAGACCCTACTGGAGAATGCAACCAAATGGTGTCAAAACCAAGAAAGAAAGGCAAAGGAAGACTCTGTTGAGGAACACAAAAGACAAGTGATGACTCCACTTGGGAGAAAACAAAAAGAACGGTGTCGAAACCAAGAGAATAAAAGGACAAAAATTGAGGTAAAGGTAAGATCCACGGGGGATTCGGTGTATTAACTGGAAGGTAGTGATTAACTGACGAAAAATAAGAATAAAGTTTTGCGAGGGAAGCAAAAGGTTGGTGTCAACAGACAGACTGTGATGAACTAAAAGAAAGAGAGTGTTGAACTAAGAGAAGGTGTTTGACTCTCTGGAGAAATTCGGTGTGTTAATTTATAAACATTGGTTAACCGAAAGGATGGGTGTGGAACCAAGCTAAGGTTGTAACCCAAAGGACGGGTGTGGAATTAAACGAAGGTTGTGATCCAAAAGACGGGTGTGGAACCAAGCAAAGGTGGTGACCCAAAGGACGGATGTGGAACCGAGTGAAGGTTGTGACCCAAAGGACGGACGTGGAACCAAGCAAAGGTTGTGACCTAAAAGACGGGTGTGGAACCAAGCAAAGGTTGTGATCCAAAGGACGGGTGTGGAACCAATCGATGGTTGTGACCCAAAGGACGGGTATGGAACCAAGCAAACGTTGTGACCCAAAGAATGGTACACTAACTGAATAAGCAGTACTTGACCGAAGGAAAGGGTATTTGAACCAAAAAAAAAGTTATTAACCCAAAGGTGCGAGTGTTTGAACCAAAGAAAGGTTTCTAACTACAGGGGATTCAACGTTTTAATAGACAAATTGTGATTAACTGAAAAGAATGAGTGATTAACCAAGAGAATGTGATTAACTCAAGCGAAACTCAGTATGTTAACAGAAGAACTATGGCTAACTGAGAAAAGGGTGATTAGCCAAGAGAAGGTGATTGACCCAAGAAAAATTGGTTTTAATAGGCGGACTGTGATCAACTAAAGAACGGGTGATTAACCAAGAGAAAGTGATTAATCCAAAGAAAGTTGGTTTTGAAAGGCAGACTGTGATCAACCAAAGAATGGGCGATTAACCAAGAGAAGGTGATTAACTCAAAGAAAGTTGGTTTTAACAGAAGGATTGTGATCAAACAAAGAACGGGTGATTAACCAAGAGAAGGTGATTAACCCAAGGGGAACTCAGTATATTAACAGACAAACTGTGATTAATTAAGAAAAATGAGAAATTTGGTGTTTTAACTGACAGGCAGTGGTTAACCAATCAAGAATGAGAAAGAACAAAGAGAAGGTTATGAATTCCTCTAGGGACTCGGTATTTAACAGGAAGATTGTGTTTAACCGAAGAAAAAGGATTGAATTTGCCGGGGAAGAAGAGAATTTGGCTTTAACTAAAAAATAGTTGATTAACCAAGAGAAAAGGAGTGATTACAAAACTTATTGAGAAATCAAAGAATACTGATTAGCCAAAAGAGAAAGGAGTGCTAAATCGAAAGGAGGAACTCAAACCAAGAGACAATGATTAGGGCGCAAGTGATCAATGATCAAACTCAATAGACACCACAGCTCGAGAATAGAGGTGACTTATCCCAGGTGTAAGGACCAGATGCCCTTTCCTAGAAACAGTCAGAATGAGGGTAAGACAGACTTCATCCTCATTCTTTCTCTAGTACCCAAAGTATAGTGCGGAAGATGAAACCGACAGAGAAACTAAACAAGTTATACAATGCTCCAATGCGTTGTGTAAACCTTCGACTCTGCGGGGGATCGAGAGAACAAGGCTCTAAAAGATCCTAAATAGAAGAGAGAGGCAATATAAACTAATCGAAACAAGGTTTCGATCCATCAACCATGTTCATCCATTCACCACAGTTTTTCCAAATTCATTCAAACCTTCAACACGATCCCCAGATCTTCATCATGAACATCATCTTGTTCATCCAAATCCATGACCATTTCCGGATCTTGATCCATAGGTTCATACAACCACAACAACTTTTTCCGGCGAGATTATTTATCATCTCTGTTCAAGCTTTTCCAGAAATGTTCAGGCTTCATCATGAACGTTTCTCAGAACCTCCCAGAATCTTCATCTTGAACGAACCTTCAACAATCTTCATCTTCTTCGTGAAGATCTTCATGAAGCTTCGTGTAACAGCCCAATTTTCAATAATTAATTATTGGTGTTAATTAATTGGTTTATTTGGATTATTCTAATTATTTGAATGATTAGATGATTGTTTAAATGAATTGATAGATATTTTGAGAGAGGGAATAAATTGGAGAGAAACCGAAAGGAAGGATATATGAAGGGGGAGTGGAACGAAAATGTAAAATAGAAAACATGAAAGAAAAGTGGAGGAAGAAGAGAAAGTAGAAGGAAAAAGAAAGAAAAGCTTGGAAAGCTCAAGAACGACTTCTAGCTTCCGATTAATCGAGGTAAGGGTGTGAAATCTTACTATCTTAATCAATGTGTATGATTATGTATGTGTGTGTTTGGATTTGTTGGGGGTTTCCTACATTTTCCATTTTAGGTCGAAATGAGTTTAATCGGTGGAAACTGAGTTTTATCGGTTAGAATTTGGAATAGACGGTGTAGTATAGTCGGGTGATGAGTGGGTTGTATTATTGGGGCTGATTTGGATTAAATCGGTCGGGTTGTGAGGTTTGGGCTTTTGGACAGCCATGGAAGTTCTGAGTTCGCAGGTTCGCCATGCGAATGGCAGAGAAGCTTCGTCGGGCGAAGCCCATCGAGCAGCAGCGAACCAAGTCAGAAGCATCCACCCTGTCTTCGCTGGCAAGTTCGCCAAGTGAATGAGAGTGGCGAAGGTTCTCCAGGTGAGTGTGCTAGCGAGTGCTAGCGAGTAATTCCAGAATAACTCCCAGTGGTCTTCGCTAGCAAGTTCGCCAGGTGAACGTAGTAGCGAAGGTTCGCCAAGGGCTTCGCCAGGCGAAGGTTAGCGAACGCAGTAGCATAGTCCTTTTCTTGTGTTTTCCATTCGTGGATTGGTTGTGTAGTTTGATTTTGATCATTCCTTGTCTGAGATGACTAATTATATGCTGTTATGTGGGTTGTGGGTAGCCGTATGGCGTGAATCCTAGATTATGAATCGATTATGAATATGTGGCCTTTTGGCATATGTTACACATTGTTTAAATTGATTAAAATGCATGATGAAGGTGATTGAGTGTGTTGCCATTTGGCCCGATATTTGTAAGTGCACATTGCTTGTATGCGATGGTGGGTGAAGAATGCATGAGTGTATATATGGCGAGTACATGTGCATTGTTTGGTAATGTAAGAATGGTGTGGGAAATGTGTATATATGTTGAGTCGTACTCACAGGGGTAGAATGGCAAGATGTTGTTCCTAGTGGAGTAATCACTGGGGTAGAATAACAGGATGTTATTCCTATTTAGGTATAGTGTCGTGGTTGTATACACCGGGGTAGAATGACTAAGATGTCGTTCCTGGTGGAATAATTACCGGGGTAGAATAACTGTGATGTTGTTCCTGGTAGGGTATAAGTGATGTACCCATACTCCCAAAAAGGGATTGGTGTTAATTGATGAGTTTTATATGAGCCATATGGCATAAATATCATTGTTGTATGAAGGATGCTGATGTGTACAAATTGTTGAATTGTGAGTTATAAATGTGAATCTAGACTGAAGCAATATGAGATGAATGATGAACATAGGTATATATATATATATATATATATATATATATATATATATATATATATATATATATATATATATATATATATATATATATATATATATATATATATATATATATATATATATATATATATATATATATATATATATATATATATATATATATATATATATATATATATATATATA